ATGAAGGAAGGTTTCTAAGGAAGTGAACTTAATATGTTTATCCGACCTATTTATTTAATTTTTTTAAAAATATCAATTGAGGATATAACTTTATTAGCAAAAAATAAATAAACGCGATGTTTAAAAGGAAGTAAATAAAATATTTTTATAAAAATTATACGAATTAATAGAGCTCGAGGAAAAAATTATTTTCGAATAAACGCCAGTTCATAATTTAGGGGCGCCAATTTCAAAAACGGATATAAATGAATCAAATAGAAATAATTCGGTATTCGTTTCTTATTTGAATAGACCTAGTTCCTATAACGATAATCAAGAACCTTTCGGTTTTAATCGATAAAAATGCTGACACTTAAAAATGACAACAATTAAACCTTATAATTGATAAAAAGGGCCTAAAATCCATCTATAAGTCGTAAGAATTAAAAAAACATTGATATATAAATTTTAAGAACGATAATAAAGAAAAGATAGAAATGGTTAATCTTCTTTCGTCAAGTCTTATTTGCGACCAGTGGAAAATTTTGGCGAGATTTTTCAGCTAGACTCGATATTATTTTTTATTCGGTACTAGCCAGTAAAATATATTTTGTATAACTTGCTCAGCCAAAAATCTTTTCGCCAGGCTCATGGGGTTCAGCCCACTGACTAGTCTCCTCCTAAAAAAATGTGAGCTAGCAAAAAAAGTAATACTTATCAACTCACCCTAGCCCCCTCCCCTTTTTACATTTTAAAACACGATAAAAACCTTATAAAATTAATTTTTTTTTATGTTTCGTGTAACAAAAATGGATTTTTTTTAAAATGAAGACCGACTTTAAAATAGATTAAAGAGCGGAAATGAGTGTTCTATTAAAATTGGGCGTATGGAATCTTTAATCAAGGAATATATAAAATTAACCGCAGAGAGTAGCCCCGTTGTGGTCTGGTAAGTTAATATTAATAAATATTGTAACCCTTAATTTCATATTACTCCTGTGCGTCGTTATATTATTATAATTCTGATTTTTCTTTTTACCACATCTCAAAATAAATACGTGGCAGAAATAAATAATGAATCTTTAGTTATCTACAAAAATAAAACAGGTGATTGAGCGCAGATAGAATGAGCACATGCTAATCATAGGGCACAGCCTAAGACGTGGGCGAATAATTCTCTCGAAACCTTAGGGAGGTTTCTGGTCAATAATCCATAAATTAATCGGTTGAGCGGACTGAAAGATATACCATCTGTTCAGACAGATATTTAAACAAATACTCAAGCCAGAATTCACTCCCAACTAGGCCATAGTGAGATGAATATTGTGAAAGTCTCAAACACTCCGATATATTTATAACAAAGTGAAGGTTGGACTTTATAGTGTTTAAAAAATGTTATTTGGATTTGTAAGCTCAAGGCAGAATTACTCCCACCAGATCATTGTGAGATGCATATTGCGAAAGTCTCAAAGAACAAGGATTCAGACATATCTATAACAAAGTGAAAACTGGATTTTACAGTGTTTAAAAAAAAATGTTGTTTTTTGTTTGTAAATTAATTAAACAATATAATTTTTAGTAAGAATTAGAAATTAGGTTCAAAAATGAAGGAATCTTAAATTATATCAAGATATTAAAATTGAAGATGTTTAAAATATAATATAAGAGCAATTGCGGGGAATATTTCTCATTTATGATATAAATTTCCTAGAATTCTTAAGCATCAGGGATTATTCTAGAAAAAATCGGCCAAAAAAAATGAGATTAGCGGACGAATCTTATGAAAATAAATGTATTTTGGGTATGATGGCTACACGACGCGCCGAAAATTTTTAATATAAATCAAAATTTTAAAGTTCAAACTCAAAATATATCCGAAGTTGCAGATCTTTTAAGTCCAAAGCGGTGGAATTTCTTCTAACGAATCTCAAATTACTCAAATAACATGTTAGTTTAATGGCCCTTAAAATTAAAGTCAAGAAAAAATTATTTTTCAGTGTGGACGAAGCATTACGTTGTCAAAACAAAAAGTATTTATTTTAAGCTGGCTCTTATATTGGGATGAAATTGGCCAAATATATTTATTATCAATTAGATTTAAGGATTTAGGTAAAAAAATCTGAATATATTTTACGAATAAAATAAATTAAGCATAGAGAAGTGATATCATTTTATATATTCCTCTTTTCATATAATTTAAATAAGATTGTATAAAGAAGTGATCTACTGAGTCAGAATTTTTGGGCTACACTTTTGTAGTTGCAGTTAATGAATTCTTTAAATAGTTTTTTCTCTGTAAAGCATTGATTGGATTTAGAAAAAAGATATTATTTTAAAGGTTAGGTTCCAAAATTGTTGATAGGAAATAAATTTATCCATTATAAATATATTTTATAAATTGCATCCTTCATAGCCTGAACACGTTATCAGCATACCATGATTAGCAAGTTCTATGTAATTGCGAAATATTAATTGATTCCCTTTATCCACTAACTTCTTCTTGTAATGCCCTGAATTGCTAAGAGCCAGCTAAAAAAAATTTGTAAAAATTAAGACGCCATTTTATCGTCGTATAGGCGATAACCTATATTTGGGAAAAGTATGAATAATCGACCCGAACCGATAAAAAATATCGGTATATCTCTAGAAGAAATACTGTTGAATGATACATTTAATCAATTCGGCATAATACTCATTAAATACATGAGACATAGGGTTTATACATTGTTCAAACAAAAATATATTCTAATGCTGAGGGTTACAAAACTATATCTTACAGATAATATAAGTTTCGACGAAATAATAGGATTATAGTAAGGAATATCTAGTGGTTAGCCATGGTGATCGTTAAAAGAAATGCAATAAATAACAGATTTACATAACTTTTCTGCCATTTTTTAAAAAAATAAAATAAGATATAACTATCTATTATTCAGAAATTATCGATATTCGATTCACAAAACTGAAATATGTTGGAAAGAGGTTTTTTTTTAAATTTCCCAATAAATTCTCTTATTTTGATGCCTGCCTAACTTATTTATCAATAACAATAAGTTTTTTAACCAATAGATTTTAAATGATAACGATAGCGTAGCTGAAGGATATTGGGTAATGAAGGTCAGCGGCCCGATCCTATCGGTCTTAGACCGACCGAACTGATCTTTTTGAGGACAACAGCCCAGACCGAACCTTTATTTTTATGGTCCAGAGCAGTTTTTTCTATATTTTATTTTTTTATGTTATTTTTCTAGAGGAGTTAATTCAGTTTTCGTTGAATTTTCAGTTCATTTCTATTTTGCAATATGAAAACCATAAGTCTTTCACAAAAAGGCATTTTGTTTTATAGTCCTGAGGTAAAAAAAACAAAGATGATCTCAGGGAATTATAATCAATATTTACAATTTGAACTTCAAGGAAAAAAAATGTAAGGGGGAGGTATGGTTATTCTACATAATAATTTTAATAATATAAAATGATTATAATATTAAATCAATTTAGTGCCTTCTATATTTAATATTCTTATTTGCAAATTTTAAACACAAAATTCAATATTCCTCAATTCTAAATAGTAAACTTATTTAGCGAGTTTCATTATCTCATATTAGGGCTAGTTCAAAAAAAAATTTTGTAGTTTTAACATAGAAATGTATAGACACTGAAAATAATTTTTAAATTTAAAAATAAATTAATATTTTTTTAATGAGAATTTTAAAGGCTACAAAATGATATATTTTATAACCTACAAAAACATGATACCAAGTTTCGTACATTTTAAAAAGGGTCACCTGAGCCAATGGGTGATTTGACATGGAAGTTTAGCTATAATCTAAGGCAAGCTACAACTTGGAAAAAAAATTAGACACATTACAAAAAAAACAAATATCGAACCCATCAAGTTTTGAATATCATCTATAAATGACAAAATCCAAACCCTGTTATATTCATTATTTCATAAATATATAATACTAATATACTACTATCATTTAAAATTGTATATAAATATCAGTTAAAATGTGTAAATGATTTCACATATGTCACATCATAAATAATTATCATTATTTTTTTTTGATTTACCAATGGAATGATATTTAGCGATGTTAAGAATTAGCTGATAGCAAACCATACCATTAACACAGTGCAATGATTATTAAATATAATACGAGGAATATCACAATGACCATCCATATAAGGTGGCCATTGCATTGCGATAAACGGAATATGGAAACTGACATTATGAATTTGGTGTAACTAGTTTATATTATACTTGTCCAATGATGCAGGTTAATAAATAAAAGAATTTTATAAACACTTCATTATGCTAGAGTTGAGGAAAAGATCTATATAAAATAATTAAAAATATTATCCTTTTTTTTAAACTAATAATAATGAAATACTGAGATCAGAATGGATTGAGCAATGATATTGCACCTATAGGAATATTTACTCGAATAAGCTCTAAATTTCATATATAACTTAATAAATAGATATTATTGCACTGAATAATGAAGGATATTATAATAATCAATTAATGTTGAGCAAATAATTTGGTCAATCTGAGTTTTGTATGCATTGTCATATAAATCAAGATCACAGAATATGCTTGGATGATAATATTTTGAATCACATCTTGTTTGAGATAATATGAATCATTGCTTAAGTATTGTATAATAAATGCGAGCATGCATGAACCCAAAAATATATATTTAAAATCGTCTGCTGCAATTATATGAAATATTGAAACCTGTTTGATTTTTTTTTAAAGAAACTTGTTCTTTAGTGTGATCGAATTTTATGAGATATTAAATATAATCTAAAAAAAAATGGTCGTACATTTGATCATTAGTGAGATAGAGAATAATTGTCTATAAAATGATCAGGATATGAGAACAACTACACACCTCAGAAAGATTATTATATATTTTTGTTTTAAATTATGTTTTTTTTTGAGAATATGCTACATATGTATGATACACGATTTTATTATTATTAAGATAATAGAATTGTAAGAGAAGAAGATGTAGGGATAAAATAACTTGATGAATATATCTGCACGAATAAATCTAAATATATATTTATATTTGTTAAATTTTAATTTTTACTTATATAAAACATAATATTTGAAAATCAAAATGTTAGGGTGTCTTATCTGTGTACACTATAATAAATGGTGACAAAAAAAGGTGAATAACTAAATTACATAAAGAAATTAATAATGTAAAACTATTTAAACAAGAAATCAAAACATAAAAAATATATGTAAGAGTAATATTGGCTTACCAACTTTGTGAAAGCAATTTTTTCTAAAAAAACCTTTGAATGAGAAGAAACTTTTCAATTATAATGATAAAATTAATGTGATATAGTAGCTCTACCCTTGATCATAATTAATGCTTCTTTTTGGAAGCCCCTTTTAAAATGACAATCAAAAGATAATATTGAATACTGCTACCACCACCATCTTCACCGGGCAACAAGATATTTGGGAAATTAATGCTGAAAAATTGCTTGGTAAATTCACAGGGAGGAAAAGCATACAAAATGTTATCATTACCATGTTCATCTGACTGCTCCAACCCTGGAGGACTCTGATCTAGGAAAACTACTCCAGCTGCATTCTTTTGTTTCAAATAATGGATAAGATCTTTGAGAAGTCTTTTATGGGATTTTGGATCTATTTTATCATTATTGGTAGAGGATTCTTTGGGAGACCTGTCAAGGGCCAAAAATATGCAATGAACATCCTCTGGGTCAATTTTTATAGAATTGGCTGCCATGTTTATACTATTATAGATACTATTTTTATTAATAAGTTTTGCCATATCATCAATCTTTGAGGAATCAAGCCTAAATCTTTGTACTATTTGAAGCTCAGATTGTTTATGAAGAGATGGAAGGACCTGAGTTTTAGCAAATATGGGGTCCCCCTTTTTGACATGATATAGGGATAGAGGAAAAGCACTATTTTTGATAGTAAAATCACCTGTCCATGCTGATGGTTCAAGCATTTTTAGCAAGGAATCCAAAGAAGTGCATTTAGTAATCCTTTCTCTCTCGCTTGTTTCCATCTCCAATGTTGTTTTGCCTAGGAGTGATTTATTATTTTTTAAAGTTTCGCTCTCATTATTATTAACATTATTAGGTCTTTTCTTGTTTGGACTAGCTTTGTGTGACATGTCTGATGGGCTTTTACTGTGGCTGCTGGCAGAAGATGAGCCCCTGTGATATTTTTCCCCTGTTTTTGCATTACTTTTTTCCTGCCTATTTTTGTGCGGCTTTTGTGAACTAGTATGAGTTTTTTTAACTTTTTTACCATGATTATCATTGGCATGTGGAGATGATTTGTTTGAATTACTTTGGTATGAGGAGCTACTTTTGCTTCGACTGGAGGATCCACTAAAATAAACATCATTCGGATTGTTTTTGGGTGGAGGTGCATTTTGTTCCCCATTTCTTTCTCGTTTTTTATGGGAGCCAGAATTAAATTTATTGCCATCACGGACAGTTCGCTTTCTTTCATGGGATTCATAGTATTCAGAGCTGGCAGACCTATTTCTCTTTGGTGGGGGAGATACAGAGACATTTTTTTTAGATTTTCTTTTCATTGATGGATGTGCCTCACCATCTTCTGCCATTTCTCCTTCCTCCCTTTCAGCCATTTCATAACGAGGAGATCTGTGTTTTTTGGGAACCCTTTTGTATTCATATTCCTGGGTTTCGTAAATCATTTCCCTTCCATCTGCATAATAGCCAGAGCTTTTGTGAGGTGGTGGTTGCCTACGTATAGTGGTGAGATAATTAACAGGTTTGTGATATGATTCAAGGAAATTGCTAACACCTGTGCCATCATAAAAAGTACTTTTTGTGTCTGAAAAATCTGTCATTATTCTAGTATTTGGGGAAAGTTCAGCTGCTAATTCTATACCCTTCATCTCATGATAAGCAATTTCAGCTGAATCTACTGTGTCATATAATATAAATGCAAAAGAATCTCCTTTTAAATAATCAATCTTAAGAATGGGTCCAAATTTATCAAATTCTCTCTCCAGCAAACCAAGAGTTGTCCATGTGCCTAATCCTCCAATCCATAGCTTTTTTGTTGGTGTAGGCTTTCCAAATCCAATTTTACATGGTATTTTTCCTATAAGTTGGCCTTGCATTTCCTCTCTAGCTTTAAGCGCATAGTCTAATGTAAAAAATTTGACAAATGCATAAGTGTTATTTTTTCCTTTTGTGGCCCTTTTTATGTCAACATCTGTTATAGGACCAAATGGCTTGAATATTTTATACAAATCATCTTCTGTAATATCCTCTGGTATACTACCAATAAATAAACTTCTTGTTGCGTCTAATGGATAAAACCATTCATTTTTGTATTTGATAGGTTTAAATGATTGATGGTTTCTATAATCTTCTTCATGAACAAATTCATCAACATACCGGGGTTTCATAGGTTGCTCCCTGTAATAGAATTCTTTGGGTGAATATTCATCATAGTATTCTTCTCTGTATGGTTTTTGAGCAGTAGAGCGTATCTCATGATTCAAGGATGAGTATGATGTAGGTGATTCCTCAGTAATTCTTTTTCTAAAATATGGGCTAGGGGGACTTCTGCTATCTCTATACCTATTTCTAGTTTTAATAGGGACAGGCTCAACTTTAACTGATCTTCCAAATAAATGCAAACTGTGAAATTCTTGACATGCTCTTCTTGCATCTTCATCATATGTAAAATTGATATAAGCAACTCGTTGATTATTGAAGAATGATATTTTAATATTAAAAAAATCTCCAAACTTTTCAAATTTTTTGTAGATTTCTTCTTTGAGCGAATTGTCACTTATACTTCTGTTAATTTCACTAATACATAGAGATCTGTAAGATATTGATGGAGGCGGCATAAAACTATATGAAAAAAATGATAAATATACTTTTATTCATAATTACCTCTATTATATTATAAAGCAAGTTGTAATAAATTTTAGAACGTTGAAATCTCACGTAAACAAATACAAAATGGTGTAAAATGTATCAAAGACAAATGATCTAAAATAGTTGGTAGATTTTTAAACTTATATTCAAGAATATAATATAATATAAAGCATTAGATGTGAATATAAATAAAGATAAAACTAGGTAATTTTTTCAAAATTAAGTAACTAAAATTGCATAATACTAAATCTTTGATCTCAATTAATATTTTTTTATTTCAAGTTATAAACATATATTTTCATAAATGATATATTTTAAAATACAATATATTTTTTATATATTTTTTTAGATATAATGAAGATATTTCATAAATATTTTAAATCAGAGAACTAGCTTGTATAGTTCGTCTGATGAATGTCTTTTGGTTGACCAATATTTTTGTCTGTATCTTGTTTATCTCTTTTCGTCCTAATGAGAGGGTAGTTAGCTAAAGATTTGGGTGCTAAACACCTCCTTTTACAAAATTAGCAGTTTATAAATTATTAACAACCATTTAAAAATACATTCATACTAAATTTAAAAAGTCTTCTTACGAAATTTTATAACTAATATTAAATCAATACTATTCACTCCATTATATTATTTATGACTATAATTTCCTTCCCTTCGCCTTATGCAAAAACAAAATGATGAAAAATCATGATATATTATATTATAAAATTTAATATACATTCATTTTTGCCTTTATTATTGTATATATAACTAGTTGTGCCATGTTCATTTTTGGATTAGTTCTGTTTAAATTCTGTAAGAAGACTAAATCAAATAAATGACCTGATAAAAATATTTTAAATTTTTGATAGAAAAAATATATAGATAAATGCTTTTAGATTGAACTTATTTAGGGATTTGTTATTAATTAGTAAACATTTGCGTTTGAATAGACATTTGTGTTAGACATTATATAGATTAACGAAGACAATTGAAAATAAAAAGCTATGAATGTAAACTTGCTGAAGGCTGGGAAAAGGTAGTTTAAAACTCGTCAAAAGAGGTTGGAGGTGCGGAAGTTATGTCACCCTTATATTTTTTATAAAATTAAAAAAAATATAGACCCCTTTATAAAAAAAAATCAGAACTTTCTCTACTCTGTAAAAATTAGCACACCTGTTTTTGGTTCACCAGTAATGATATATGAGGCTCCTGAGAATTTATGATTAACTAAAAATCGTAGTGTAAAATAAATTAGACAAAATTAAGGTGTCTAAGTCTAATTTAAGTTTAATATTGGTCTCCCTCATAGGAGAATTTTGCTACATTTGATTTCAGTTAGAGATAAGATTTTTTTTTAAATAAGTAAATAAAAAGAAATAAATAAATTTGGGAAAAGAATTAAGGAAATTATTGGTAAAGTCTAAATGGGTATTAAGTCAAAAAATAAAGTGAAAGAAGATATCATAGGAAAATGAATTAAGAAAAAACAATATCATTAATGTCGATTATCATATGTGGATTGTAAATAAAAATTAAATTTGACACATGGATAATAATGAAAAATATGTAGGAATTTTTATATTAATCAATGGCATAAATATATACAAATATTTAAAAATTTTAATCTTGATCATAAAGAATAAATAAAAATATGATGTTAATATATTCTTCGCGAATTAGTGATTTTAAATAATATAGAGGTCTTTGTCAGAAATTAGGATAAAGCATTGACAAGGAAAAATATCTATTTTTGAATATTTATAAGTAAAATAAAAAGAATGACTAACATAAAATTAAAATTGATACAGAATATTGATAAATTTTATTGATAATATACTTCTTAATTATATTTATAAAACTAAAAATTTTTTAAAATAAACTACAAAAATAGAAACTTAGAGAAATAATTTTTTAAAATAATTTTAATAAGAATAATTTTGTTGAGGGATTAATATTGTTGTAAATAATGACTTTATTGTAAATAATGAATGATGTAAGTATTAATGTTTACAATTTACATATTTATAATATTAGATTATCTTTAAATTGTTTATATTTGTAAATTTGTTTGATTGATTTTATTTAAAAAGAGATGGTTTATGTTATTTATATACCAGTTACTTTTACCAGGGGTTCGAATCGAACCGAACCGCAAAATCGAAATGAACCGTTATGATTTTCTGAACCGTAACATTAACCGAACCGTTATGAAGAAAATATTAAAAGAGCGAACCAAACCGTTATAAATATTTTGAACCGGTTTTTAATTTTCCTTGGGGGCATTTTTTAAATTGGTGATTTCTTTTTAAATTAAATATTTCTATATTATCAACATTATATATCAAATTAAATATTTTTATATTATCAACATTATATATCAAATAATACCAGGTTTGTTGTTTTTTCTTTAAATACTTAATTTATAAGAGATTAGACAATTTATCTGTTAATTAAATAAGATATCTTAAAATCATTAGTGACATATTAAAAGCTTTATATCCAGCTTATGTTTTGACAAAATATTTACAAAGGGAACAATTGACAATGGGCGATTTTTATGCTGCGTGGATCAAATGTCTCATGCAAACGAGTAAAGTAGACACTCCATTTGCCAGACTTTTAGTTTCTACGATGAAAGCCCGAGAAATAAATTTCAAAAATGAAGTTTTTTGCTCTGCTATTTATCTCGACCCTAGATATAATGTATTTTTAACTTTTGAAGAAAGAGAGATCGCCAGAAAACATCTTTGTAAAACTTGGAACTTGATACAAAATCTAAATAATCAGAATATTGAAATTCTAAATACTATGCCTACGTGTTCGTATTCGAAGGATAATTTAGATGATGATTTTGGATTTATTAAAGTCGCATGAAAGTCTTAATAAGAATAATTCTCAGGGCATCGAAAATTATAATAAATGTATAGAAATAGAATATATAATTCGGTCATTTGATAATAAAGAGAGATTATAAAAAGATACTAATCTTTTGAATTATTGGGAAAATGTAAAGAATAGTATGCCAGAACTTTATAAGTTAGCTATAACTGTGCTAGCAGTTCCAGCTACGCAGTTCTCCGTAGAAAGAGCATTTTCAAGCCTTAAGTTTATACTCTCTGCGCAGAAAACTAAATTAAATCCTGAAATATTAGAAAATATTTTAGTTATCCGTTCGAATTCTCTTTTTAAACCTAAATAGTATAGTATACATATTATTTTATTCATTATTGTATTTACGCATGTTTGTTTTTATCTTATTTATTTATGAAATAAAAAAAAACTAATTTGTCTAATTTATATTTCCTAAATTTAATAAAAATATCTATTAGATTATTATGGATAAATTAAATAAGAAATTATAAACTAAAAAGATTTTTCTCTAAAATTAATATATACATGGTTAATGATTAATTTTTTTAAAATTAAATTTATAAAAACCGGAACAAACCGAAAAAAACCGTTATAAATTATAAACCGAACCGAACCGATATGATTTTTTTTTAAAAAACCGAAATGGAACAAAACCTTTATAAAATTTTAAACTAAAAACCGGAACGAACCGAACCGTTATACTAAACGGTTCGATTTTACATTAACCTTTTTCACTTTGATAACTTTAAGAAATTTTACTTTACTTTAAAAATTGGTATTTTAACTTTATTTAAATTAATTTTAAAAAAATTATGATTTTGAGACAGATCATTTTATTACCATCAGGGCTTAATCACTATATCTAAGTTTAATTACATACCAAACATATTTGATTCTGGTCTAATCGAACCCAAGATAATCCCTTCAATGTATATGATTTATTTAACACATCAATTATCATCGTCTTTTTACTCTTTTCCGTCAACAATTTAAAAATGTATTAATAAATAAAAATAAGTAATTGATTAGTTCATTTTAAGTTACGCGAAAATGTGATTTAAATGTAGTGATAAAAATAATTCTAAAAAATATTTAATTGTATGGCGATAATATATTAACAAAATGTTTTAAATCACCCCCCGTTAGGCATAAAGCTAAAAAATATTTATATATGTTAGCATCGATTTTTCCGGCAATGCATTATTTTTTCAACTTTAAATCATATTTTAGGCGCGTTTTTTTTAAATTTAAAAAATCTTATTTTTCCGGAAAAAATATTCCATCATGTTTGGAATACCTATCTTATGAATTTGTAGACAATTTTGCTTTTAACCTTAGAGTCATTTATATAAGTTATATAAAAAATATATGGAAAATTTAATATAAATTATATTTAGTTTAAAAATTTCGTGAAAAAAAAAAATCTAAAATCCATAGGGTAGGTATTTCAAACATGACAAAATATATTTTCGGTAAAATCAGATTTTTTAAATTTTAAGAAATGTGCTCGAGAAATGATTCAAAGCTGAAAAAAATAACACATTGACGATAACATATATAACAAAAATTAGATACAAGGAAAATTTATATATTCCAATTTAATTATTAAAATAGTAATAAATTGTCATATTTAATTGAGGTTAATAATTTTAGTTTGAATAAAGAAGAAAAGAAATATATAGAAGAATACCATAGGAAATTAATGAGCATTTTGCGATAAGAAGACTTGTAGTAATAATTAATCACGAGAAAATAAAATTTTAATGTACATGAAAAGAGAAAATTAGAGTAATCTAAAAGTTAACAAAAAACGACAATTAAAGTAGCTGAATGTTAGGAATTGTTGTTAAAGAATGCTTCGTGTTGAAAAATGATTACATAGTAGGAAAATGGTGTTGGACTAATATATTACGGAAATCGGTCTTTTGTTACCCATAGACCTATTCTTTCTGAAACAAACTTAGCAAATACCTGGCAATTTCTGATAATTTCATTTGTATTTATCCTTTTTCTTTCTTTCGATATTTATTTTGATCTATATTCATAAAAATTACATTTAGTTATTATTATTATCATACTAATATTATTCAATAATGGAAAAGTTCATTTAAGTTGATAATTTACATAGTGGAAATAATCTATAAATTTCCATGATCCATAAATACGTTTTCTTGAAACTTTAAGAGATTTTTTCTCCTTTCCACAAGTATTTAATTTATAAAAAGATTGTGGAGTCAAAAAAAATCATCCTGTAATATGCCATTGATATATAGGCCTAATCCCTTTAGTAATTTGCTCTTTTTTCTAAATTTTGTGAATTAACCTCTCAATCTTCTTTTCTCTCTTCTTGATCTCTTATAGCTTTTCCATGTTCTATGGGTGTTTTTTCTAAAGAACATTCACTAATAGAAACTAGTAGTTTCTATTTTATAGAAATGGACACCCCCCCCTCCCATTTTCCTGTGTGTTTCTGTAAATAAATTTAATATGACATCATAATAAACGATAATAAACAAAATTATTATTTTTTAAAAAGAAAAGTATCAAAATATCAATTTTTTAGCATTTCTAATATTTAGGGAAAAAAAATGTTTAAAAAATGCTACAAGGACCAGAGATCTGCACGTGAGTCTAAAGCCCTTCGATATATTTAATATAGTGAAATAACCTAAGCGTGAATTCGTGGCCAAGTACACAAAAATAAAGCATATTTTGTAAACTTCGCCGCAAATTTGAGCCAATCGTTAATGAAAAAGGTAATAGCGTTCCCACCCTCCAGCTTATCAAAATCTTAACGGATTCCTATAGACTGACATTACGACATGTGTACGAGAAGAGAAGAGAAGAGAAGAGAAATTTATTTTAACGATGGTTAAGCCCATGATTCATAACTTTATTCTCCTTTTTTTTAAAAAAAAAAAGTATTGTTACAAATGAAAAAAATAATTTTATTCAGGAGCTGGCATATAATGTTCTATGTAATGGATATCCTCGATCTCGTGTTTCCAAGAATCGTAAGCGTCGACGCAGTCCGCGGTGAACTTGTAAAGAAACTCGTAATCATCCTAATCCCAAAAAAAAAATTAAATATGATAAGTGGAAGAATCACTACTATCCTTATAACCATTTCTCATGAAAGGAATTCAATTAACCAATTATATACTTATAAACTATATAACATTTCGTGAATCAGTCTCTAAGCCCTAGGAATCATAATTTGTCTTTTTTTCCTAATTAAACAAAATAAAATATTTCTCTTATATATTAAATGATTAAATCTTCTCTAAGGTTGATCCGAAGGGTGGCACCAGATTGTTCAGTTTTGTCGAGGTTTACTGGATGCTCACAATCTTGAAAGAAAATTTATAAACCAATTTTTTGTGTTAAAGATAATTTGCAGATTTGTATTTTCGAAAAGCGCCCACAAAATGTTGATAGAGATCGAGCCCCCGATAGCCCCTCCCTTGTTCTGGCATTGGTCGATCCTCATCGACCAATAGAAACAGAACAAATTAGAAGCAAAGTACTTTTTTAGTTTTTATACAAATAAAAAAATCAACCGTATTACGTATTCTTTTATAAACTGTGGTCTGGACGCTCTGACAGATCTGACGGAAAGGTAAATGTTCAATCCTCGTTCGATCCTCATCTGGTCCCATAATCGCGCACACACGCAAAAAATTCCGCTTCGTGTGTAACCGTCTCTGGTTATATATAAAAGATATCATTAATAAGGACCGAGTAATTGCGCTTCAAAAATTAAAAAGAGATATTTTAAAACGATACTTAAACGATACTTTTAATCAAGTTTAATCCGATGATATATAATCAGCTAAAGAGATGCCATTTTAGATTTCCATTTCTAAATATTTTAAAAATCTTAATGTAAACCATTTTATTTATTTTTTAAAAAGAAAATTGAGAATTTCAATCAATTTTTAAAAAAAAATCTTATATAGGAAATAAAAATGGTATGGCATCAGCTGATTTTAATGTATTATTCGTCATTTAGGTAAGGACTATTGGGTTTGTGATGTATGTTTGGAAACAGAAGGTCCCAGGTTCAATCCTGGTAAGGAACGTAAAAATTTTCAGGTTCTTCTTTGATGACAGATGTGTAAGGACATATGCTAGGATAAATTTTTGAGCTGAGAAATGCCACCCCGGTCACCGACAAGCTTGGACAGACGAGTGCTAGGATATTTATCCTAAACCATAAATGAAAGATGGTTTACCTCGCGGACCATTCAAGGATGATAGATGGAATCGATAAGAATACCTCGGTGGGATATCTATCGATATAATACTCCAGTGGGATATCTGTCGATATTAATACTTCGGTGTGAGATCAAGATACAATGGCCTTGATACCGATCGGTGGAAGGTTCAAATGGAAGATAAGGAAACTCCAATGGAGGATATCGGAGATAAAAAGAGATAGTTAGCATGAATAATAAAGTGGAGAGAGAGCTTACCACCAGAAAAAGGTGAAAGCTTAAAAGAAATTTTTTTTAAAAAAATTTAAGATATTTATATTGCTTAATTATATATTCCCGTGGGACAGCTGTTTTGGTGGTCTTAGTAGTCAACATTTATTATCGTAAGGGGCAATTTATAATTAGCTCGAAATGAGAGCGATATTCGTTTTTCAAACAGGTATAAAGCCCGGCTCTGGTTCCACTTCTCGCGTTTAAAGCAGGCGGAAAAATAATTGTCGAAAATTTTTTTTTTTTTGTTTTAAGTGAAAAGTTTTTATTTTTTTATCTATTGCAAATAAAATATAATATAAATTATTTCAGAAATATTTTGCAAAAATAACTGACATCACATGGATACCACCTATCCCGGCCATATCAGAGGGTGCAGCAATTTTAAGAAGATTAAATAAAGTAGAACTTTGTATCGATTTCACCTCCATCTTAGTAAATATGTTTTATTTTAATCATTAAAAATATAAAATTGTATCTTTTTTTTTAAAAAAAAATTTTAAAAATTGGTAAATTTAAAAAATAATGATTGTCATATATGATTAAACTCCTGTTTCAAATTTAAATATTAGATAACTCGTGTAGCAAATTGGAATGATTAAAAATTATATTTAATTTTCAATATTTTATTTTGGCGATTTTGGATGAAGTAGTGCAGATATATGATCTTAAAATGGCGGTTTTCAAAATGAATGGTATACCTAGTGCGGTTAAATGGCTCGATTTAACCCGATTTTTAAAAACGGCTGACTCAATATTTTATCCGGAACAGTATTACGCGAGCCTAGAGATTTTAATAAAAGATGGCAGAAAGGTTTGGACATCTATTAGCAAAATTTAGAGACTTTGGCAATATTTTTCTTGTTATAATATTGAGTTAGCCCTTTTTTAAAAATGGGCTCAATTCGAGCCATTTAACAACACTAGGTATACAAAAGTTACCTCTTGCAAATGTCAAAAGTGAGTTTTTTTTAAATCGCTTTTTTTAATGGACTAAGTCTAAGCTATTAATAACAAGCGATATTTATTTTCGCTTTTTTGTCATCATACATTCACATTTTGAAATCTACCAGCTGTTTATGGGGAGATCGCCGCTATTTTTTTTCCCTTATACTTTAAAATTCAGCCAGAAAAAATGAAAATTTAAAAGATAACGGATTTTTTTATAAATTCTTTCTTTCTTTCTTTCTTTCTTTCTTTCTTTCTTTCTTTCTTTCTTTCTTTCTTTCTTTCTTTCTTTCTTTCTTTCTTTCTTTCTTTCTTTCTTTCTTTCTTTCTTTCTTTCTTTCTTTCTTTCTTTCTTTCTTTCTTTCTTTCTTTCTTTCTTTCTTTCTTTCTTTCTTTCTTTCTTTCTTTCTTTCTTTCTTTCTTTCTTTCTTTCTTTCTTTCTTTCTTTCTTTTTCTTACAGATCGTGGACTAAAATGTATTTAGCCTTGTTTTCCTCGTTCCATTCGTACGATCTTTCCAAAGTTTCCAACAAGGGAATGGTGCAACTAGGAACTCGTTCGTTGTTAGTCCAACTTGACACGTGGAATTGCTTAATTATCCTTTTTTTCTCGGAAGGCTTAACAGTGCACGTTGTATGAATGATTAAATATATATATTTTTTTTTAATGATTAAGAATTAAAATCAGAGTTAATTATATACATGTCACTCAATCATATTTCGGTGTATTATTTTTTTTTAGAAATATGATATGATACATTAAGAATAGGAGTGATTCCTTATAAACGTTTTATAGCGTAGTTGGAAGCATATCAGCTGGTGAAGCCATTTTGGTTTTTAATAACTTTTAATCTTGATTTTTTTTTAAAAAAAAAAATGTTTTCATAAATAATATAAACTATTTACATATATGAAACCAAAATAGCGTTACCAACTGATTTGCATAAATCGATACCAATGAAGCATCGGAAAAATTAATTTTCTTCAAAAATGTCAGTCATTCCAACACTGAGATGGAGACACTATAAGTTATTTAGAGGGGGGGGAGGGATTTTAATCTTTTTTATGTATACCTTTAGCAAATTAGCTAGCGATAACTTTCGTATAGTCAGACTCTTCTTGTATTTTTTCGTAACTACGGCACTAGTGTCTAACATTTTGACTTCCAGAGATGCATAAAGCGCTGTACCTTCTTGAGGCCAATACGGCGTAACGGTCTTTTTTAGGAATAAAAGATTGATTAATAATCATGCCATAGGTGTTTTTTAAAAAATAGATATAATAATCACTAGAGCTATACTGCGTTTTAAATTATTCGTAAATTTTTTTTTTCTATAGCAGCTCACATGACTATTAATATGCGAATTTAACTATAAAAAAAACAACAGCAAATTCGCAGGCAGTAAAAGTATGTAGATAAATTGTAAACTGGATGCAAGCAATTCATTTTAAGACATTTGAGAAATAGGATCTATAATATACATCATGTGGGTATGATTAATGGTAATTAGGAAATAATGATTTTACATACAATACTGTAATGTGAACAAATGGTTTATGTGTTGAAATGCGATTCAAAGAGGTGATTCGATACAATTCAAAGAGATGATTCGATACAACACGCCCACCCTTCACAAGCCCAGCATCCCTTAGTGTTGTTAAATTACCTACCTTTGACCATCTCTATTGTGGCTTAATCAAGTTTTTAGCCTAAAAAATTGAATTGAGCTTCTAAGTTGAGCCTTAACTTGAAGATTGATTAGAATATTTCTGGATAAAAATATGGCTACGCTGTTTTATGGTTGACTTAAAGTTAGGTATTCCTAAGATTACTCCTACCAATACTTCATGTCAACTATACAATAGCCACAGAAAAAAGGGTAGTTTCAGAGAGGGGGGGGGATACGTACTCTCATTTAGTTCTAATAAAGTTTCTGATAACTTTTAATAAAGTTTTCTCCTTAAGTTACCTGACTATTTTTGTCGATTTGGTTCAGCATAACGATGGAATAGACGTTGTAATCGTAAACCAGCTTCCAAAAATCGACTATGGTACTGGGGAACGGATGTTGAGTTACTATGTAGGCGTCGTTTACTTTGAATCCCTTTAATTTATTATCGTTTAATATTAAAAAGGTTTATCTCGCAATTTTACTCCGACATAAACACTATAAACGACATCGACGAGGTAAAATGTTGTATAATTTTATATCTTAAAGAAAATTTAAAGATATTATATGTATTCAATTTTCAAAGGTATGACTCATTTTTTTCTCTGTGGATTTATAATTAGATTTTAAGGATTTATTTGAAAATTCCAGAACTTTATTTATTTTTGGCGAATAAGAAAAGAGAAATATTTTTTTATTTAAGATGAATTGTAGGAAAGCATTTTTTTTTGCCGGAAATCGAAATTGCATAGAAAAAATGTCCTATTCCCTTACGGTGCATTTAGAATATTGACGAGAGCTGATATGTGTTTTCCAATGACATATAAATATACCTAGATTGACGATGCAATCATAATAAAGTATTTGAAAGAGTCGTTGAATGCAAATCAGCTGGACCCGCCATTTTCGGTAACCCATATAGTAATTAATCTAATGCTAAAAACTACTATTAAATCTATAACTTGCTTCCTTATTATCTCAATGATCAGGCAATTCTTTTATAAAGTTTTGTGCCACACATAGGAATAAATTGGTCTCTCGTTTAAAATTTTTAACAATGATATGGGTAATCAAAATGGCGTTCCCAGCTGTTTTTCATTGACGTACACTTTTAACGAATGCATTGTCAGTCTAGGCACTATTATATTTCATTGGTGTTTCCATCGTTTTATATAAACATAGGGTAAAAATACAATCTTAATTATTATAAATATTAAACTTAGATGACTTAACAAGGATAATTAGAGATGGTTGTCCAATATCTAATATTAAAATAATTTATTCTAATCTTAACGCAGCGCTTAAAACGCGCAAACAATTTCTTGGTTATGTTTTAACATTAAGTCCGTTTTTTGTTTTTGTTTTAGCGTTTTGAAGCTAAACGTGATGGAAGTAAGAAAAGATGGTCCCTAAAAGGTGATCTCTACCCTTCTTACTTTCAACTCAAAATAAAAATTTAAACATTATTTTCTCTTGCTTAAAGGGAGTGTTAATAATCGCGTTTTTTTTACGTTGACGAAAACGGCGTTAATATAATCACTAAGGAATCCGTCTCGACCATCTCCCAAGATTTTAAGCTTGGGTCTTTTAATCTCAGCTGGAACCACTTTGGGGTCCCTATTCTTCTTGATGTTCATGGGGTTGAAGCCTTGGTTACTAGAATCGAATATGATTTTGTTGGGTGGAGCTATTTTGCAAATGATCTCCCATTGGGTGTGAACTCCGTTTTTACCGTTTTCCAGGTTTTTTTCCATCTCGAGATAATAATCGGCCCAATTGGAACATGCCACGAAGGTCTTACCAATTTGTAGTGCCTCCACTAGGGCCTCGTGCAGAAACGTGTATTGCTCCTCCAGTGATGGGCATTAAAAGATAAAATAGTGAGAGACAGTGAGTGACGTATTTAAAATGTCCGTAAAGCATATTTTCTAAATATTAACCCTTCTTCTTCTTTCAACAAATTTTGATATTTATGAGTATTATATATTGTATACCATTTAAAAATTTTATTTAGCAAAAGTCTCTATTAAAAAAAATAGTATAATTCAAAAAATTTATATAGTTGATCATGAAAGATTAGAAAAAAAGGAATGATTGATTTCTGGTTTAAGCATGTCAAATCTATAGCGGAAACTCACCGGTGTTTGCAACATGCATATTCGTTGCTGTCTCATTTCTTTGCAGAATCCGTAGATATCGATCTGGCCCATTTCTCTCGCCATTTCTATCATGGCTTCGAGAGCGATGTAAGTTCCTGTCCTACCCACACCTGCGCTGTATTGATATTTGATTTATAAACATAATCGTCTTATTTTACGGTCATGAAGTATGTATATATATATATATATATCATCGGTAGAGAATTAGAATGCTTCAACTGATCATAATGTAAAAATAAAACTGCAAGTCTGCTTACGTTGATCGATTCGAAGTAGATTAACAATATTTTTTTTTAACAAATTTTATTAATTTATTTAATTTTAATTATAGATTTAGGTCAACTCAAAAATTTTGAAAAATGGCATAAGCGAGGCCTATTATAAAGCAAAACGATAAAAAAAAAGTTTTTCCCAAAAAAACATAATATAAACAACTTTTAGCAATTTCTTATTGGTAGTAACTGGTAAATAAACCTTTATTGAATCTTGTATACAAAATAATCGGTATAAAATTTCCTAGAGAGAATATCAAATAAGAAATCTACCAAGAACTGTAGGAATAAGGAAAGGAAAGAACCCTACAGTATAAGTATCTTCTGAAAAGCGATAAATATTTTTTCAGAATGAGAAACGAAATGCAAGACGCCTAATAAGAAAAGGTCGAAAAATCTGGTCAGGGAGCCCCTTTCTCTTAGGCGAGTCATCCCTTTCCTGATTTAGATGCGCCTTCCTCCAGATATAGCAATAGAAACATGTCCTATCCCCCCGGGGAAAAGATGGTATAAATTTTTAAGTTTCCTAGGATCCCAGAAATTTCTTTTATAATTCGCAAGACTTCCTGATTTTTATTTTTTTTTTTCAACTTTTTTTTTTTATAAATTTCTGGTGTTTCTCGAGGAAGATTAAAGATTATAAACCGCCGTTATAACCTTACACTTTTTAAAAACCTGCAATGTATGGCTATCGGTCCTGAAAGTGCGGATTGATGTTGCTGAATAACGTGGTAAAATCCCAAGAGTTCTGTGGGATTCGCTGGAACTCCGTGATCTGGCCAAGCAGTAAATCTAGAGATTGAAAGAAAATTCAGTAATCTACAATCTACAAAAATAAATTTGTACTCCCCCCCCCAGTCACATAAGAAAAGAGTAATGAATTATTACCTGAAATGTCTAATTATTTTGGTTTCGTAAGTTTCTACATTGGTGAGACCGAAATCGCATAGCGTGTAATCCGCCACCGTCTTCGTGATCACGCGACTCACTTTAATGCTACCATATATGTCAACGTCGTCCGGCCAGTACTTGTCGCATTTATTCTTAGCGTTAAAATTGATTTTTGAAAGAAAAAAAAATATTTCATCTCATTTTCTATTTCTCAAAATTCCATTTTCAAATGGATTATTATTTGTAATTATAGATCACTAATTTCATAATTATGAATATCAGGTTCCAACTGGATTAATCTTGTATTCCACCAATTGCAAACTACGTACAGTACAAATACTATTCAGTTCAGATTGTTTATGGATCAGAGTAGTTAATATACACCTTTAGAAATCGTATGTTTTTTTTTAGAAATACTGTCCATTGAGTGTATAAGGAAACTAAGTTTTATTTATTTTTTTATCGAAATTTGAAATAACTTTTTTTTAATGAATAAATTAGTATTATACCAATGACATTATATAATACATAGACTGACATAAGTGTACATCAAATGCAAATCAGCTGGAGACGCCATCTTGGTTACACTAATCATTATTATAAATTTTAAACGGAGCCTAATTTAATCCTATATCTGAATGCGAACTTTATTAAAGAATTACCGGATCATCGAGATAATAAGGGAAGCAAGTTATCAATTTAATGATAGTTTTAAACATGAGAATAATTACTATATGTGTTACCAAAATGGCAATGGCGGCTCCAGCTGATTTGCATTTCAACGACGCTTAAAAATACATTTTAATGAATGAATCGTCAGACTAGGTATTATATATGTCATGTATTATACGCTTAGAGATATAATAATGATAAAATTGCATGTTGTGTCTTGGAATCAGGATTAAAATGTTGGCAATAAATAATTTTTAAAAAAGAAATGTTCTTTATATAAATAAAATGGGTAAGAATATACGAGGGTTCCTGACCCCTTATCCAGAGTTGTTAAAGTATCTAGATACTGAAATGTGGTATCTGTAAAGTATCTGATCTTGATAAGTTTTTAGGGGATGTATCTGTATCAAACTCCATTTAAAAAGTATATATGGTACAGGGTACAATCATTGGTTATTTATTATAACTTTCTTGCATAAAATACTTGGATATTACCCCAGACCCCTCTTCAAAGGGGGGGGGGTAGGGTCATCCCAAGGAAGGAATTTGCAATAATATTTTTAATTATTACATCAAATAGCGGAGGTTTGGCTATACCCACCCCCCAATCCTAGTTTTAAATAATTTATTTATTAAACGGGTCATTTAGTTTCAGCTTTCGTTAAAAGCTGTACATACATGTTTAACTGCGATTTATTCTTTTGATTATCAAAATTTCAACAATTTTATTTTTTAATCGATACAAATAAAACGCGGGTAATATAATTTACTTGTCCTTGCTCGATCAAATTGGTTAGCATAATGATCTTCGAGCATCGCTTCTGCCATATCATGGCCCAAAAGTCGTTCATACTAAAAACGTTCGGACCCTTATTATAGGTTTAAGTTTATGATTCACGTGAGAGATAAAATATATTTTAAAATTATGTTTAAACTACATTCAAGTATCGCTACAGTTACTAATTAGCATTCATGTTAGAGGGACTCGCAGATGTAGCTCTCAATTAGGCCCCATTTTTAAAATCAAACTTTATAAATAAAAAAAGCCGGGCAAGTCCCACAATCCCGATTTTCACACATTTCATTACTCATCCCAATGACATATAATAATACCTAGACTGACGATGCATTTTTGAAAGCGTCGTTGAGTGCAAATCAGCTGGACCCGCCATTTTGGTAAACCTGTATAGTAATTATTCTCATGTCAAAAAACTACTATTAAATTGATAACTTGCTTCCTTATTATCTCTATGATCGGGCCATTCTTTAATAAGGGTTTGCGTCAGACGTAGGAATAAAATGGACACTTGTTTAAAAATTTTAATAATGATTAATGTAACCAAAATGGCGTCCCCAGCTGTTTTTGCATTGATGTGAACTTTTATTGAATGCATCGTGAGTCTAGGTAGGTATTATTATATGTCATTGACTCATCTACACTTCTGCTCTGCCAGGAAGTTTGGCCCTAACAGAAAGAAGAAGAAAAAAAATTAAGGTTAAATTTTTTTGTCACAACCTGAGTAGCAATGTATTTCTCCTTTCTATAACCGTCGATAAAGCTGGCGTTAATATACCCGTCCGGGTTCGTAGCATAGGGTTTCAGTTTAACTCTGTTATAATCGTCTAAGAACAAAAAAAATAGAAAGAAAAATGATGTTCCATGTGATTTGGAATGGAACATCATATTATACCTCCTAAAAATGACACCTAACGAATTAGAGTTTTATATAAGGCTCGTTTTGAGCCGATTTTTTAAAACGGCGAACTTGATAATTTCGCCAGAAAAAATACTGGCCCTAAGCCTCGAGATTCAGCTAATAGGTTTCTTAGATCCTTGTGTCATCTATGAGCAAAATCTTCTCCTCTCTTCTCTTCTTTTCTTTTCTTCTCTTCTCTTCTTCTCTTCTCTTCTCTTCTCTTCTTCTTCTCTTCTCTTCTCTCTTCTTCTTCTTCTTCTTCTCTTCTCTTCTCTCTTCTTCTCTTCTTCTCTTCTCTTCTTCTTCTTCTTCTCTTCTCTTCTCTCTCTTCTTCTCTTGCAATAATATTCTGGATAAAATATTCAGTTAGCCGTTTCTAAAAATCCCCACAAATAGAGCCGTTTATCAACACTGGGTCTAAAATACCAAAATTTAATTGTTTCCCCAGGTCTGGTCCAAATTTTTTTTATATTTGATTTTATAACCGTAGACCTTAACTCAAAATTTTATATTTAGGACCAAACTTGGCCTGGTACAATTATTACCGGTCGCAAAAAAAAATGAAACAAATTAAATAAAAAATTTCCCCTAATTTTTCTAATTCCGAATAAATTTATTTCCTTATTATTTTTTTAAAACCCGATCTCGACCCGACCCAAATTTTTTTTAAAACCCGATCTCGACCCGACCCAAATTTTTTTAAAACCCGATCTCGACCCGACCCAAATTTTTTTAAAACCCGATCTCGACCCGACCCAAATTTTTTTAAAACCCGATCTCGACCCGACCCAAATTTTTTTAAAACCCGATCTCGACCCGACCCAAATTTTTTTAAAACCCGATCTCGACCCGACCCAAATTTTTTTAAAACCCGATCTCGACCCGACCCAAATTTTTTTAAAACCCGATCTCGACCCGACCCAAATTTTTTTAAAACCCGATCTCGACCCGACCCAAATTTTTTTAAACCCGATCTCGACCCGACCCAAATTTTTTTTAAACCCGAACTCCAATTTGTCCGCCTGACTCGATTCGCGATTCTCTGGAATATGGTAATATTTATATATTTATTTATTTTTACAAGGAACCATGTTGGAATATCTATTCTTATCTCTGTAGACGGCCTTCAGGCCGATAGTCATCGGCTTTAAAAGCCCCTGGGGTAGCTTCTCGTGTTCTTTGACGAATCCGCCACTGGATTTGAGTTTTACCACGTGATCGGCCAAATCTTTAATGTCGATGGCTTTTTTTAAATGTAAAATCGATTATTGATTAATTCCGAAAATTTGAAAGAAAGAAGAAAAAAAAAACTCAATGCCAAGATTGAAATAATGATAAACCCTAATATCACCTAACTTTTTTAAAATATTTAATACCTATTTTTGTACAAAAACGAATAATGGCCGTAAAACGGTTCGATTTTAACCCGGTTTATTTAAAAAGGGGATAACTCGATATTTTAACTCGAAGATGACATGAAGGTTTAATCATCTATTAACCGAAATCTCTCAGCATAAACAACGTTTAAAATATCGAGTTTGCCGTTTTTAAATAACGGCTCAAATCCGATCCGTTCAACAAACATTAAAAAACATAATTAAAATTATCGAAATAATTAATCGTTCGCACAAATTGAGCGTTTCAACCGCAGCGTTCAAAAACGCAAATAAAAAAAAAAGTAAACGCAGGCTACGTTTAAATTTGAAACTTTAAATTCAATATGCGTCTAAATTCTAAACGAAAAAAAAATGGCAATTTTTTCTTTCGTAATCTCGTATTTCCATAAGCTAAAAAATATTATTGTATCGTTTAATAGAATTATTTTATTTTTAAGAAGATGTTTTGTATATCCATTGCTTATCACTTCAAAAATTTTAAAAAAACGTTTCAAAAAAAAACGCAAGATTATTTTGTTTTATATTAATAAAAATACTTTAAAACGCGAAACGGAAATGTTCCCGATTTAAAACGTTCGCGTTTTTGAAACGCATTATTCGCGTTTTTGAAACGCATTATTCGCGTTTTTGAAACGCATTATTCGCGTTTTTGAAACGCATTATTCGCGTTTTTGAAACGCATTATTCGCGTTTTTGAAACGCATTATTCGCGTTTTTGAAACGCATTATTCGCGTTTTTGAAACGCATTATTCGCGTTTTTGAAACGCATTATTCGCGTTTTTGAAACGCATTATTCGCGTTTTTGAACCGCATTATTCGCGTTTTTGAAAGGCTCGCGTTTAAACGTTCAATTTGTGCGCGATATAAGCCCAAGCTTTGACTTTTTTTTTAAAAAAAAATTATATTTTATAAATGTTAGATATTTTTAGTATTTCTACAACGGATCTCTATTTGGGTCGATTTTTTAAAAAATGACCCCGATTAAGATTCTGGCCAAAATAAAATATTCTAAGACTGGAGATATTTTGTTCCTAGGGTGGTCGAAAAGCTTAGACCTCTATTTGCTAAATCACGGGGCTCTAACCTCTTAATCGGGACAAAGTACACTTATAAATTACGTTCTCTTACCATTTCCTTCGTAACTTTTCCAAGTATCTTCGAGTTTGGCGTTATCTTTTCCTTTGGTTTTACTGTGGTTTGATCGAATATAAAAAATTTTTAGAAATAAAATCGGTTTCTATCGTGTAAAAGTTAAAATTTAAAATCTTTCCCCGCCAAAAATATTCTCATACGAAGATTGAAAATGATCAAAAATTTTGATTTATATATATATATATATATATAATAGTTATTCGGATTCGGATATGGATATGGATAATCCACACTAAATAAATGGTGTGAACATTACGGTAAAATATGTATCCCTAGTGGGGTTAAATGGCTCGATTTGAGGCGATTTTTTGAAAAGGGCTAATTCGATATTTTAGCCAGGAAAATATTGCCTTAAGCTTCGAGAATTTCGGTTAATAGACGTCCGAACCCTTGTGCCATCTAATGGGCAAAATTTACGTGCCCGCGGAAAATACTTCCTGGATATAATATTGAGTTAGCCGTTCTTAAAAATAGGCTAAAATTGAGCCTTTGAACAACAATACATATATCGCGAAGATTATATATACCTCCCAGTTTTAAAATAAAATATGTAAAGGCTATATATCCCCCATTTTTAAGGCTAATAATGCGCAGCTTCTTAAGGAAACAAATTTAAATTCGAGCAGTTGGTAAAAGGTGGTTAGAAAGATATGGGGGAGGGGGGGGTCATATATGTTCTCATCTGAGAATTATATTATTCTATGTCATGAATGACTTTTTTTTTTATAGTTATACAATTTCTATTTATACAAAAAAAAATCGAAATATATAAAATAAGTTAAATTTATAGCCAATATAAGATTAAACATCCTATCGAAAAGATTAGAAACTTTATTTTTTAAAATTGGTCTCCTGTAAAATTACAAAAAAAAGTGGAGATAGAATAATCTAATTTTCAGGGCGGCGATGCATTCAAAAAATTTGTTATTTTCCGACCAAATTGGGATTGTGAAAGAATTTGAAAATTGAAGATCGTGTGCAGATGGAATATAATGTTGTATGAATAAAGATGTTGAAAATTGTTGACAAATAGAGGGCAACCATCCCATTCTTTGTTTTTAGGAGGAGACTCGTTCCTAGCCGCTATAGCCAGAACGGAACGGGTCCGTATCCGTCTCGTCAACATTTATGTCCCTAATAATTAGATGTTACATTATATAAGAATGTTCCAAAGAGTTATATATTTCACATTTTCGATACTTTTTTTAAAAGGAATATTTCACTTATCGATACTTTTTAAAGAAAAAATTACCGATATGTGAGTGTCCCTTTAAGTGACGATGCGAGGCTCGCTCCGTTTAGCCTATTTTTAAAAAAACTGCTAACTCAACATTTTAGCCCAAAAAACATATTACCTAAATCTCGAGATTTCGGTAAAAGATGTCCGAACCTTATTTGCCATCTGCGAGGAACGAAATCCTGCAGAACTTTCTTACATTTTTTTTCTGGATAAAAATACTGAAGTTAATCGTTTTTAAAAAATCGGCTCAAACGAAAATTTTGCATCTATGGGAGTAGCCAGCAAGAAGAAGAGCGAAGCGAAATTCATTCCCCCACTCGAATTCGTCTGTTCTCGTATATATGATAATCCAAGATGGCCAAAGGCAAAGACTAACAAGAAGTGAGCTTAAAGCCTCCAATAATATTTATGGGGAGAGAACCCACCTAGAAGTGCTCCACCCCTCTTTTTAGAAAAATCCTGGCCACGCCTGTGAAGGACAGAATGCCCGACCTTCCTCTTGCTGTTAATCCAATCATCAAGTGAAAACAGTTTTTAAGTTTAAACTTTTTTTATGCCATTTTCTTTCAAATCAACTTTAAAGTCTAGCGAATTAATCTCTCTCTTTTTTTAAACTACGATCTTTAGACCATAATTTATACTCATTATATTTTATTCTTTTTATTAGTATAAAAATAAATCAGGGGTCGACTTCTAACCTAAATTTAGAAATCTTAAGTGGTAAGTTAGAACAATATAATAATAAAGTGACCAAATTGGTTATATTATATTTTTACTTGGAAGTTTCCGAATCATCCTTCGCTGATCCTAAGCTGGCATTGCTTAGAGAATCCTTTGATTTCTTATTACAAGCAAAGCATTTACCTAAAACACAAATATTTAAAAAAAAAATATTTCAATAATTCTTTTATATTTAACAAACAAAAAAATTTTTTTTTTAACCTATTTTCATCGTTGTATATAAAAAAATTTGCGGGAAAGTTGAAGAAGGCTTGTTTAAAATTTATTGGTTTCTAGAAATGATTAATTTTATTATATATATATAATTTTTTAACGAAGTGTGACAATAATAATTAAATAAAAGAATGATTTTGAGTGCCTAATGTGCGTTACAGCAGGGCCGCAACAGATATCCTTTTTTTTCCCGCCAGTTAAGGCCTACCCATAAGGTAGACTGTGGGCGTTCTTTTAAAGAATGATAGGCGAGGGGAGTCGATATTTTATAAAACCAGAGGCGGCTCGCGGAATAAAAGGTCCCCAGATTGTAGACCTTTATTTACCGCTATTCCTAGGTAATCCTAATTAATAAGGTCTTACATGGGGGACGGGAGGCTAAACGCTCCATCAATGTTACCTACTCGCGGGGAAGCGAATATAAATTCCTTATTTGTATCGTGCTCATTAACGATATATTTTTTTGGCGTAATAAAAAAAGATAAATGGTAGCCAAGTATAATGGGCTGACAAAAGAATCCAATAGTAATGAGGCAATTTAAATATAAAAAAAAATATTCCAGCTGGGATGGACAATTTATACATAAAAAATGGAATAAGGAATAGTGGCTTACGAATCTTATCATTTTAGCAAAATTTTAATAGGGCCGATATATTATAGTTCTTCGATTTTATAGTAGTGATGTTAAACGGCTCAAATTTAAGTCAATATTTTTATCGAGATTTCGTTAATAGATTCTCAAAACTTTGTGCCACCCTATTAGCAAGAATCTTAAGGTTTGCAATGATATTTTTTCCTAATGAAATATTGAGTTAGCCGTTTTTTAAAAAAATCGGCACAATCGGATCGAGCCTCGCATCCGATACTAATTTTTAAGAGCTATTACCTAACTAAATTACCAGAGTTGTTAAAAGATACTTTTTAAATGGATCTAGATACAGACACATCGTCTAAAAAAAATATCTAGATACCGATATTTTAATAATAAATCTATCTAGATACATATACAGATACCATATTTTTATATCTAGATACAGGATCTAGATACTTGTATCTAGATCTTTTAACAACTCTGTAAATTACTAAATTAACATGATCCAAATTATACAAATATACACAAAATTAAAACGGTTGGTTTGTAATGAGAAATAAATAGCCGTGGAGGGGAGACAAAGGAGAGCATTAGTCGACATTTGGTAAAAGTTAGATATAAAAAATTTTTTAAAAAAATATAATGGCCTGGGAATTTGGTGTTGTTATAAACGGCCGCATTTTTTTAAAAACGGCTAACCCCAATATTTTAGACATTTTATATTACGAGATCCTGGAGATTTTGCTCGTAAATCGAAGAGAAGCTTGGAAATCTATTAACGAAAACCTGAGACATGGCCATTTTTTTGGCTAAAATATTGGGTTGGAAAATTTGTACAAAAAATTTTAACAGACTGAGCTTTCTTAAAGTTTTAGCGGATCTGGCCAGATTTGAATAAAATTGGCGGGTCTGTCAAAAATGGAACACTCGGGTAAAAAAATTCTTAAGAGTATTTCCTTTTCCTCTTTCATAGCGCAAAATCATAATTTACATTTTATTTTTTTGGTTGAAAATTTTAAAGACACATTAACCTACAAAAAACTTAAATGTATAATAAGAAAACCTTCAATCTTTTGCACTCACCTAAAGATTTCACTATTATTTAACGATTTCCAAATGGCTATTTAATAAAATCCAACAATATAAAAATGTTTTTATTTACAGCTAGGGGAGGTCTTTTTAATAAAAATAAATTTTTGTATATGAGGAGAATTATTTTTCAGCGTATTGGTATGGAATATATGTGAGAAAAAAATGTGATCGTAACGACAAGAATTAAATATATCGGTATCGATACATTTTATAAGTATCTTTAACAAGCACAGATACAATGAAGAAATACGTGCAGTGTTGGGAAATAGGCTCGGTTCCCCGATTTGTCTGATCCGGTTTTTGAAAAATCTCGAGAAACCAACCGGTTATTAATTAGCAACCAACCGGTTATTAATTAGAAACCAACCGGTTATTAATTAGAAACCAACCGGTTATTAATTAGAAGCGAGCTAATTTCACATAATAAAATTTTTTATAAAATGTATATCTAAACAAACCGGTTAGCGCAATTTTTTATAGAAAGTATATAAACTCCGATATGCACATTCGTCGGCTGAGTATTATATTGTTCTATGTCCATTTTTTTTTTGAGATGTATTTGGCATAATTTTTTTATTTGCCTTATTTCAGGATCCCCCATCTAAAAATGCGGGAAACTTTTTTGTTTAGAAATGCTCTGCCGAAAAATTTTGAAACATGACTTAAACTCTCAAATCCTTAAGGAAAAACAATTTCGAAAGCTAATTTTGCATTTTGCTATCCCATTCCCCAAAAAAAACAAAGGCTGAATAAATTTCTAGACGTTCAAAAAAATGATCGCCTCAAGTATATTAATTTATCGTTAACGATATATAGTTATAACAATCGAGATCGATTGATATATTAAAAGCTTATAAATGAATGAGAAAGATAATTAGGATCTACCTTGATCCGTCCAAAATATTTTCGCTATTATCACGACGTAAATAGCTTAGAAAATGTTATTTGTTGGGCACAAAGGCAATATCTTGACCAATCGTATCGAAAAAAATAATGTCCCTCTGGAGAGGATGGGGAAGAAAAATTAGAAATGCTATCAAAAATAGTACATATTTAAATGAAAGTGAATGTTTTTCCGAATTCCATTGAAAACTTTATCGATTCATAAGGGTGCACACTTCCCAAAACTGTGGGAAGGACCTATGGAATTTTAAATGAAATTTGCAATAACAACAGTGGAGTTAGGTCTTTAGGGTTAAAAATGAAGCGACAAGTGATAAAAATAGCAAATCAATCGATCCTATTTCCAACTTTACTACTTGATCAGAAGACCACTCCTATCCATATGGGATACAGACTTGAGACAGATGCAGAAATCGTAAATTCGTACGTTAGAAATAAATAGAAACTTTTATAATATATAATTTAGCTTTAAAAATCTTATTTTAGGGAAATAATAATTCCCCAAAAAATTTATACTTGAACAAGTTCGCAGAAAATGTAGCTATATAGAGCTTTGAATTATTTTTTTATAGTATAATATATATATATAATTCTAACCCTGCATTCATAGCGCAAATTCGAGGTTGAAGGATCCAAAATATGATATAAATTAATAATTATAAACATTAGTTTAACATCGCCGTGAATTAGGCTAACTGTGATTGCAGGGTAAGGCATAAGTCAATCAAATAACTATATATACATAATCTTTTTCCCCAAATTTCTTGGCCGATTGATTCTCAAATTTTTGGCAGTCCAGAACTGAATGAATATAATGATGATAAAATAAGATTGGGCCTCATAAGAAAGACGCCATCGATACAGTTCTAGATACTATCTTCTGCTAATATGAATTTAAAATATTTCATCATTTTTATGGTTAGGATATAGTGAGTGACACTGCAAATAAACCCGCGATAAAATTTTAGGAGAATTCTCTACGAAAAAAAAGGAACATCTGGAAAGCCTTCCTCAAATCTGGAAAAAAAAATCTTTTTTAAAATCCCGAAAAAACTCCATTTAAATCTTGGAAATAAAAAATAAAAATAAAATCATCAAAAAAATTTTCAAACCCTGTCGATCAGCTGATTTTTAATAAAAACTAAGGTCTGCTTTGAATTGCTTGATTTCCACTAAAATTTTCTTTCCTCTTTTCGAATATTCTTAATATACTTTCTTAGGTCTCCAAGTTTATCATTTTTTTAGGAAAAAAATTGCCCAAATCAATTGTGATCTTTGATTCCATAGGCCTTTTATATTTTCCGGCACAGCCCAGATTTTTTTAAAGATATATTGTATTTATTTTTAATAATTTTCATAGATAATAATGGCCATTTACAATAATTTGGTGTTTTTTATAAATATTCGGCCAGGCCCTGGTTTTTTTTTTTTAAAAAAAATTTTTTTTTAGGTCCGGGTGGGTACATTAAAAAAAATATTTTGGCCGGACCTTGCTTAGTTCCGGGGCTGCAGGTTTCTGATTGATTCGTAACGTTCTTAATATTTTTTATCCTTTATATCCTTATTTATTTTTTAATTTTTTAAATAGCTTAAAATTTCTTATTTACGATGTTTTTAAAAACAAATATATTCTTTGTTAAATAATATATAGCTCGATCAAATATATGGTTAACGATGCTTACTACCAAGTGAATGAATGAAAATATTCTAAATACCAACCTAATTTGCTAAATACCGACCAAAATTTATTAAAATGAAATAAGATCCTTATCACGTGGTCGAGTCTGGCCTTCTATATATCATCCCCCCCAAGAATGGAACCACCAAGTTAGATTAAGAAAAAAAACATGACCATTCACGGGATTCGAACCCGCGACCATGGGATCAGTAAGTGAAGCTCTTGCCTACTAGGCCATAGAGTCTTTCCCAAAAATCACGATTTTTCAAATATATATTATAAATATATTTGGTAGTGCCTATCCAAATGGAAAATAAACAAAATTCAAATTTAATAGTTAGTACCTTAAGGTAGTAAGCATCGTTAACCTCAAATGGTATTTCATTTTTAGTATTTATAAAAATTATACACTATAAAAAAAAGTCTACCAGTTACAATACCATTCAATAACTTACACAATTAACCCACATCTAAAACTAGAATTAATAAATTTTCAACTCCAAATTTTATTCGCAAACTAAATATATAATTGAAAAAAAAACAAAAGGTTATAAAGTCATCATAATTATAAAATCTAGTCCCTTTTATACTTTCTTGAGACAAAGAGATCACGAGTTCTACACGTGATATATAAAATCAGGTGA